GTAAGATGGTTTCCCTTGCCTAACTTCTAAATTCAATGATAGAAATCTTGACCCAATACAAGGAAAAAAAAAAAAACCCTCCATAACCATTACCAGAAGGTAAATAATTCACTTATAGAAGTGTATCTCATATCCAGTTATTTTTATACAAAATATCGATCTGATCCTCAGAAATAATTTTGCATTTGTTAGGTTATTCCTAGACATTTGTTGGTCTAATTATGTCACTTATTGTGAAAATCATCTAATGGAGTCAGAGGAATTGAGCTCCTGTTTCTGTAGAATTAGGAGGAGATACACATTTATACACATTTACCACGGCATAGAGGCATAAATTGGAAATGAAGATTGTTTCCATTCAGGCAAGTACTCTACTGTTTCCATTTTGCTTGCCTTGAAAATGTTCGGGACATAGCGTAGGTATAATAGCATAAAGATCATACTACTATAATGATGATCCTAACTCCACAAAACAGGCTAGATTCTGCCGGAAAATTTAGACAAAGCATGATAACCCGTATTTCAGACAACCAGTGGGTTAGCCATGCAGCCGTACTTATTCATCATCCAAAGTACTGCCTCATGCATTTGGCTAAATTGTCTAAATCCTGGTACAGTATTGATTTTCCCCCTCTATGAGCTCACACCCAGTCAAGCCACAAGAACCCCTTTCCCTGGCTGAGTTCTGTCTGAAGCAGGATCCAGGTATGTTCTTCCTGACAGGGTTCCTATAGTGGAAACTGATCACTAGCTGGTGAAAAACAAACCACTGGAGACAGAAAGAATTTTGTCTTAGAGGAACATGAAAATGAAAAAGCTAGTTATCAGAAACATACACATTACAATCTAATTTTAGAAAGAAATACAAAAAACCCCACCACTCTATAAATGTACATACATACACAGGAACAGAAACAAAATCTAGGTGGGTATGTAGTGGATATGTATGAATAATGGTTATTTCTAATTAGTGGGATGGTGGTGGTCTTTACTCCTTTTTCTCTGTATTCTCTGAATTTTTCACAATGGGCCTGAATTAATTTTATAATTGGAAAAAATAAAGCTGTTTAATAAGGAAGAAGGGGTTAAAACACAACAATTTTACAGCCTAATGCAGGGACTATTACCCTTTGCCTTCAACATAGGAAGAGTTTTAAAGTTCCTCCAGGATTTCTTAAAAGAGCTGCTTTTCTGTTTACTAAGCATTTAAAGGCATGGCACTGAAATTTATTAAAAAGATGAGGATAGAACTCATAATCCCAAGATTGCAGAATCATTAAGAGTAATAATGAAAAGGCACAAGCAGATCTGCAACAAGAAAACCCTCCAAATGCCATTGTCAGAGGTTCTGTGCTCTTGATACTGCAGAAGCCTGCAGGACAGCAGAGAGCAGTGTCTCTTCCAAAATGTTCCAATCAACCCCTAAATAGGCACTCTAGAACTTTATAATGTTTTAAACAAGGCCACCTCATTTATCTTTGCCTGGCTTTAGTTTTCTCTGAGATAATACATTGACGAAACTGTTAATAAATGTGCATACATATAAAATATTTATTTGGGTTTGCTGTACAATCAACATATCTTTTTTTCTCCTCCATTATCTTGAGCCTAAGTCAGGACAAGAGAATTTCAGGGCTGGCAGTTCAAAGAAATGGAATTCCTATCATGGCAAAGTATCACTGCCCCTTAGGCTGCTTTAGTCACTTATTTCCTTTTATTATAATGCCAAATGTTATTTGTATTTCAGTCATTTAGTAATGCTACACTGAACACATCAGGGCTTCTGAAAACTTCCATACCTACTAGCCCTTTCATTTTCATTATAGCCGTATATCGATATGACTTCTCCAACTACATTACACCACTGTTTAAAAAAGAATCTGTGTTTTATCAGAATTTAAGAGATTATGATTCAGTGAACAACAGTCTTCAAAAATGTTCCTTCATGTTATTAAGAATTAGGAAATCTTGTTAAAATTCTTTCAGCTTTTAAGAAACATAAGCAGCTTTGTGATGTAGTGCCTGACATGAACTTTTTAAGTAATTCCCTTGGAGCGATCATCTGCATTAGTGAAGATATTTTGTTCAAGGTAGCACCCTACACTACTTTTCAGTATTTGAGCAGTCAATCTAACTGCTTTTTTAAGGCAAAGATCGAAAATAACCAACACTGCAGACTTTTAAGCCTAAGGTAGCTTAATGTTCTCTACTGGTGAGAGTCACATTTACCATCAAAGAAGAGAGCTGCTTCTTATGCAAGTGTAGCTAATGAGCCCAAGTTTTTAAGTGATGTGGAAGGCAGAGTTTTCAATCTCACTAGCAAGGATGGCTAAAGGAAGGCTGGTGAAGGCAGGGGAAGGAAACATAAGTAAATTTATAGTATCTTTCAATCTTATTTCAAAGTTAAGTGATAAAGTAACTTTAAAGGAGAGAGGTAACAGTTGAAGGAGATATGTATTCTCCTATAATCAATAATCTTAAGAACTGTGTTCTGCTAGTGTACCTAGGGTTATTTTATGCAAGCTAGGGCTTCATAGAAAGCATGGGATTTATGACAGTTCTTATATTGACATATTTATTTGGATTTGGTCTTGTATTTAGACTCCTGCCTAGGATACTCTAGCAGAGCTGGTTCACAGGTTGTGGATTTTTATTTTCTCCCAAAGTCTCACTGTCAGCATGCATTTGGTGAGACATCAAGCTCAGTATGAATTGACAGGGTGATTTGGCTTCCAAGAAGGCCAAATTTAACCTTAGGCTGCATTAAGAGAAGTACAGTAGCCTATCCTGAGAAAGGTGACAGTTCCTCTGCTTTGCACTGATCAGAATAAATCTAGAGGGCTGTGCTCACTTCTCTTGATCATATATTTAGAGGTTTACCTACAAACCGAAGCACAGCCAGGGCAAGATGACTAGGATGGTGAGTCATTGAATAAGGGTTGTGGAATTAGGGCTCTTTGACCTGGAAAGGAGAAGGGAGGATCTGATGTATTTGACTTCACATATATGAGAGGCAATGATAGGGAAGAAGGAGTAACTCAGACATGTGGTCCCAGAGGGCAGGCTTTGGATCACTGGCAAGTTGCAGCAAAGTAGATTTGGGCTCCATATCAGGAATAACTACCCATTAGAGCTACTCAACAAGGGAGTGGGCATCCTTGCAAGTTCATAAGCTTCCTATCAGGGCAGGATCTAGCAGAGACTGGAAAGGCTGCCTGCTGGTTTTGCTGTAGAAAGTTGGCTGCATATATTGGAGGTTGGATAAAAGGATCATGAAAATCCTTTCAAACTTGAAAGTTTGTGATTCAAGGAAACAAACTTTCCCAAGACCTTCCCTCATACAAAGGCTTAGAAACTTAAATTATTTCATTCTGTGTGTTTGAGTCATGAGGAAGAGGTTCTCCAATCCAACTTTAGGATGAAAGAGTAGAAAACCATTTTCATGTGCTGCTTCTCAAATATGCCAAGGTAAGAACATTCTGTTGAGTAAGAAACACTTCCAGTGATCTCACTGACATATCTGCTCAGTAAAGTCAGTGAGTTATGGTATAAGAATATATCACTTCCCCACCTGAACAAAAGTATTTTCATGTTTAAAGGGTAAAGAATAGTCTTAAAATATTCTCTTCTCATATGTTGGGCTCACTGGAGAAGGATGATCACCAAAGCTAAGAATAATGAATGCCCTAGAAACTAGATAACTTCAGTGAGGAAACATGGATTGGTTCTGAAAACACTTCCAAAAGAGTCAATTTTTTGTTTTCCTTCAGTGTGAGAAAACATATTGTGATTACTTCTAGGGAGGCCAAATTATTTTCTTGGAAATATGCTGAATTATTTTAGTGTTAATCTTAACATAGGTTTTTCTATTTTTCTTGCTAATAAAATGCTTTTGTATTACGAATCTGTTTTAAAACAACAGATCAAGTAAAGTACAAGCATCTTTGAAGAGTGAAAAAATAATTTTCCAAGTAAGCAAATAAAACTTTGCACTTCAAATCAGGCCTTGATTCATTAAAAAATCTTAAACTTCTCATGAGAAAAATTAACATTTAAACCACTGCTGCTTGGCCAAGCACTCCACCACACAAGAATATGAAATATCTCCTCTAAAAAAGTACAAAAAGGACAAAACCACAAATGTGGAACTTCAATTAATTTAAAGCCCCAATCAGCAAAGAATAAATCCTTCGCAGATCTAATTACCAGCGCTCTCGGAAGACCCAGGCCGACCAGCCAATCTTCCCCGTGTTTGAACAGCTTGATGAACTAGGGGACTGATGGATATCAAGTCATTTTGTTTAATTTATAAATGGATTTTCCCCTAATACTTAAATTATCATCAGTACAACACAATGAAAATGGGAACATTCTGAATGCAAAGTCTATAAGAGTCCTGGAAGGAATCCCAATGAGGAATGTCACCTCTGTTCATTCCTCTATACAATTGATCTAATTAAATACTGAGGGTAGAAAGGCAGTTTAAAATGTAGCCATTTCTGTTTTCTTTTTAGCCTTAATTTATCTGTTCACATCTTTCAAGTACCTTCTGATGCTTAAAAAAAAAAAATAAAGAAACCAAGATTTCTGCAAGTCCCTAATACTTTTAACTCTCTACAAGCTAATATTTGGAATGCCTCTGCCATAGATTTTGCTGAATAATAAATAAATGCATTAGATTTAGCCATGGTAACAATAAAATGAAGAGGATGTTCCAAATCGGAAGCTTTTCCCTCTAGTAATTTGAAAGAGAAACTAAAGGAACGAGTACCTTCTGTATGTATTGTTCAACTGAAATTAGATCTCTGGATTATACTTATTAAAATGTCTCCTTATTTTCAAATCTCTTCCTTATTTAATTACTGCATGGGACTGAAAGCTGCATGGAATTGTTAAATACCCTTAGACCTATTTATAGTCTCTTCACATGGGTAACTTGAGCGCACTCATTTGGCAAAGGTCCTGCCCACCAACCCACACATTGGGTTTGCAATTCCCACCTGGCTCGGGGGTCTCTGACTGAGAGGAGGAAGATGCTGAGCTGGCTCCATCCTCAGCAGTGCCCTGCGACAGGAGACCCCGCCCAGGGGGGAGCTTCATGCCCAGCTGCTCAGCCATCTCCACGTGGTCTCCCGGGTGGACATAGTCAAAGACGCTGCTGCCTGTCAGCTCCACCTAGAGGGAGAAGAGAAAGGGTGGGAAAGAAAGGCATTAGAGAGGCTTCTCCATTTTCAAATTTAACATAGTGATTCAGATTCTGAGTAGAAAAGAAAGTACACTCAGGTCTCAGAAACAATCCTGGTTCTGTCTTCATCTTCAAATACTTCAGAATGCTTGAGGTGAAAGAGAAAGATTTTTTCACATGTATTTATTTAGCAATTGTTAAGCTCAGTTTTTTTTTTTTCCCTCATGCACTGCTGTTTGCATAAAGCCAAAACATTCTGTGACATGTGGACTAGTCTGCCTTGTATTCAGCTGTTTTATCCATGCATCATCAAATACTTGCATATTGGGTGTCAACCAGGTGACTGACTGAATTCTACAGTTTTCTTACTGAGAAGTTTGGGTTTTGGGTAGGAACAGCTATAGAAACAGCCAGAGATAGCAGACGAATATTTTCCTTAAAATACACAGATTTCCAAGATGGGTTTTATACATATCATCTGATTTCTATGTAAATTTAAATGTAGGAAGGGCTGCTTACAAATATATGCAAAGGCATAATGTTTTCATTAAAAATTACTCATTAGCTTTGTAATTGTATAAGGGATTTTCCATATAAAAGAGGTCAGCTGGGGTCTGAAGCAGCCATATTTTTTTCTGCTGGAATCAGCTTGTTTTGCCTTCAGTCGAATAGGATACATAGTACAAATCGCCTTGAGGGCTTTTAAAAAAGTGTTTTATTTTGTGTACTCTTTGAATGAGGCTGACTCTTAAGGCAGAGAATGAATATCAAATATCAGAATGGTTTCAGCCTGAAATAGAGGCACTGACTGTTTTAATGCTGTGAGGCATGACCTCTGTGTCTGGGTCGTGCGCTGTCTGCGGGGGCAGAAGTTGCTAAGGACTGGCCTTACCTCTGTACTCCTCTAATGTTCTAAGGTTTTTAATCTCCTAAGAATAATGGTAATGCTCCTAATATACAATAGGGAGAGATGTGCCAGTAATAGGACAGGCAAAAGCTCTTTCCCAGGTCACTGATGGGTTCCCAGTCCTCTGGAGTGTGATGCTTTCAGGCCAGCTATGACATACGATGGAAGCTGCCAGAGCTTCAGATTGTCACAAGTTTCTTAGTGGATATTTACCTAGAACCCCTGCCGACCTCATTTCCCTTTCCAGGATAATTTCCAGCATCCCTCCAGATTGAGCCTGAGTGCCTGTGCCCTTTCATGCCAAGAAAGATGACTGGCAGTGGAAACATTGTCACAGAGGGTGTAATACTCAGAGCAGTTCTTGTCCCCAGAACTCTAAGTCCCGGTAACATGATCACATCTACTCCCAGACTCCATTTGATTAACATCTTAACAGGCTGCAGATCTTCAACATCTATCAGTTAACACAGGTACAGTCAGAAGAACAGGAGGCTAAATTCAGTTTGGTTAATAGCTATTCCTGAAAAAGGCTCGCATAACTTTTACCAAAAATGAGGTACTTTTCTCTTGCTATTCAATTGCACTCTCTTACTGTATCGCCCAACCATTGACTACATCATTTTACAATCCCCATTTCCTCCATTTGGTATTGTTACAGAGTGTAAATCGGGATTCACAGTGATCAGCTCTTACCCTCTGGGAGGGGGGGGATTACATGGAAATAATCCCTTTAATGTGCGCCTTGCCTCTAAGCACTTCACACAGTAATAAATGGGTAAACTGACTTTGAGCAATTAAGAAATTAAATGAAACTAATAAAATGTGTGTTTTAATATTTCTTGATGGGTATTTTGTTTGGAGATTAGTGAATATGAGGAAGTCACTTTCGTTTTGCATGGAGTCCAACTGTAGCACTTTTGTACGTATTTCTGTCACTTTTCTCAAACTGATTTTTTCCTTTATAATTCAATATGCCTTTTGGCACCCACCAGAGATGGTGATAGGATGACAACACAAATGGGCAATAAAATAGTTTTTTTGGGGTGTGCTGGTTATTGAATATTCACGTAATCCAGTCTTATAGAGAGCAGAAATAGGCCACTCTTTCTACAACCTGATTTGCTTGGATGTGCAGATACTTCCACAAAATAATGTCCAGAGCATGGCACATCTAGGGCAAGACTGAGTCTCGATGTGCCACAGAGCACTAGGGCTTGGTGAGGACTTCTTCTCCCCTTGGCCTCATGGAATTTCCCACTAACATACCTCAAAGCTTAATGATGATGGCGAGGTGGGCACTGAGAGTTTGACACTATCATCGTCTTTATATGTATTCTGTGGTTAAGGCCGCACTGTGTAGAGGAAAGCACCACTACTTGGAGTCATAATCTGACTTCAAGGTGAGAATCTTCCTCCTCAGTTGTGTCACCTTGGACAATTAATTTAACCTTTCTGGGCTTCAGTTTCCTCTTCTAAAAGCGGCAGCACTGCTGCTCAGCAGGGCCCTGGGGGAACCACTCACATTGTGTTCCACGTGTATGGCTCTTCTGGAGTTCTGTTCCTTGGGAATGGTGCAAGGCTGTGGCCGTGGGAGCTGGGATGAGAACAAGACTTGCTTTATCTGCCTCTCAGCCTAATTTTTGAAAATTTAATAAAACTATGCAGAAGAAATCACTTTGTAAGAGATAAGCACCACAAACATGTCTTGTTGTTGTTGCCGTTTGGTGGATCAGGATGAATGACATGAAGAAATGGATATTATTGCGTAACTGTGTGTCCTCACTTCGGGACAGCACTTTGGTCAGCAAGGGGTGCAGCCGGGGTGGTGCATGCTTTCAGCCTTAACAACAACAACACAGGCAGTTCTCCACTATGTGCAGGTGCTTTTTGTACTTTGCTTTGATTAATCCTCATAACATCTTTTGAACTAGTATGATCATGTCCAGTTTATGAAAGAACCTCAATACTGGAAAATGCCAATAGTGGAAACAGAATTTGGTTCAAAGTGCACTTGACCTATCACCTCTCAGTAGTAGCGCTGGCAGCCATAGAGGATAAGCAGAGACCTCTTGAGTTCCCCTGTGCTTCAGCGCCACTTTATTCAGGAGAACACCAAGCACCATAAAGGGAGGAGGCTGAGGGCAGGCAGCCTGCCAATCCCCTGGAGCTGAAGATGTGTTGCCATTGAACTCTTGGGCCAAAAGAAGGCACTAAAGGAGGTGTACTAAACCAAAAGAGAGGCAGGGTTAGACAAAGGTCAACTTATATATGTAACTGAGTCATCATCAACATTATCATCATGTCATACGTGTATCTAACACGTTCAACATTTCTCATACTGCTTTGACTTCACTTCAATTTTAGAGCCAGAAGAGACCTTAAAAACCATCTATTAATATCTCCTTATTTCATGGGAAAAAGTCATACAGTTCTGAGAAGTTAAAATGCATTTGCAAGTTTACCCAGCTGTTTAGTGGTAGAAACAAGGCTGTGAGCCCAAATGTCTAATTCTCAGTCCATCACTTTTCCCATTTTCTTTTTCTTTCTACTCACTACGTGAGACAGGCTAGAACTCATGTTTCCTGCCACTAAATTCTGTGCTTCAAAATAGACTATAAGAAAGCAAAACGGAGAATTTTTTGCTTGATGAACAGGCATTACTTCATGTTAGCTTCAAGTTGGAAAAATAAATAGAGCTCCAATCCAACGCTAATTAGGTACCTTTAAATCTTCAGTTACCACCTCTTCTAAAACATCTGCCTGCTGAGAACTAGGACTAGTGTCTTATATTTAGTAGGTCTATTATAAATGTTTTGTTGAATGAACAAAAAATGGATATTTAGGCCTGAAAAAAATTTTATTTTACCTGTACTTGATTTGGAAAAGCTTAAGTTGGTTCTTTTATGTTATTGTAATGGCACTGTAATGACAATGTTTACTCATTAAAATGAATATATTTATTCCCAATAAGTCCTTGAGTTTAACTGAGGATGGGATTGTATAAGTGCTGGGAAAGGACAGGTTTTAAGAAACTCTTTAAGAGAATAATGTCCATCTTTCATAACCTACTTGTTTCCCGTCTATGGCAAAACTCTGTTTAACTGGTTAGTTCCCAGTGTTCACACCCTTATGTCCTCATTATCTGAAATGTAACACAGTTCCATAAAAATTAATATTTCTTAACTATCCCTTCAAATCACCAACAGTAGAAATTTAGAGAAATTTCATTTTATATTAATTATTGGTCCTGTCTTCAATCCTTAATTATTATCTAACAGAAAAGCAGAGCTTTCCCCTCTCCAACAGTGTGTTCTTCTGATTAGTGCAGATTGCATTCTAAGGCAACAGTGAGAACTTAAAAAATCCATGTTCTGCTTATGAAACTCAAGATAACAGACCCATGGATCTTTGAATAGGTTCTCTAGTGGAAAAAGAAAGAAGCATGACTGTTTCAGACTTCACTCACTTGGTCCAACTTTACTCCAGCTAAGCGACTCTACAAGAGAGCTTACTCTCTCACATTGCTTAGTGTGTTACAAAACAGCTGAGAATGCTACTGGGCAGCAGACAGGCAACAAGTAATAAATAATCACATCCACAAACAGCATTTTCTTCAAACGCTTTTTTTTTTCCCTGCCTTTCCTTGCCCAGTGTTACCATAGATTCCTCCAGGACAAACCATAGTCACTAGTGCCATCCAGCGTGTCCTGCAGTCAAGCTAAACCACATAGTCTTTATCAGATTTATTTCACATTTTGTTAGCTTGCATGTAATTTGCACACTAGACACAGCCGATTTAGTAACTCTGAAATTTCCTGGAAAAAAATGTAAATATATTATACAGTGGTTTGAGTTGACTTTTCCATGTCGGGTCATTGTACCCTGCTGGTAGATAGGATGGGGGACTAATTTGTCTTTTCATACATCAAGCAAGCATGTCAATAGCCTTTGCTTGGCTCCCTGGAGTGAGCAATACTTTTTAACTACAGTGATGTACTAACAGTGCAACTCATTGAATTCAGAGCTTCTTTGATTGAAGGGATTTGGTGCAGATGAGGAGCAAGCCGTGAGCTTATAAGTTAC